AACTACATAAACCCGGCTATTCAAGAATAACGCCCGACATGGTAACGAAATTGGACGAAGCTTTGGCTAAGGACAATTAATTATCTACTTTTCTTTTTTCAAATATTTTAATACAGCAATTAGCAGCGAAAATTTATTGTTAGTTCTAAGTTGATTTTTAGTAGATTCAATAAAAATCAAAATAAATTTAAAAAAAAAAAAAAAAAAAAATGGGGTATGTATCCAGACAACTACCTGTAAGTCCAATTTTGACTTGTCATGTGACCACTTGCCAATAATAATCACTCTCAATGACTGCTGTGAAATTATGGAAAAATGCATTTTTCATAAAAAAAATACTGATTGGAACAGTTATCATCAACTTATTACAATTGCTCCAAATACCGAAGTCCAGTTGAAAACTGATTTTGATGTGACTGAAGCAGTAAAGTATTTCAACTCATGTATCCAAATGTCTGCATGGGAATCAACTCCTCCATTTTCAAAAAGTGTTAAGCAAGAATATCCACTTAACATTAGACACCTAATCAAAGAAAAGCGAAGGATGAGAAAACATTGACAAAAGACGATATTCCCTGCGGATAAAACTCCCTTAAACAAATTATGTAAACTAGTTAAAGTCCTTCTTATAAAGTACAACAATAATCGCTTCATGTGATACAAAATACTCCCTCTGGAAAGCCATAAAAAAGAACAACTGACCGATTGCTTTTCAACCACCTATACGCGAAATAATGGTTATTAAAATATGCCAGATATCATGAAACAAAGGATAAATTTTCTACAAGAGCCTTACCAGTAAGAACTTCCACATAAAAGATATTCTATTAATGAAGTAGCGAAGTTAAAATTAAAAAAAGCTCCAGGATACGGTTTGATCACAGGCATGGCCTTACAGCAGCTACCACTAAAAGGATTTGTATTTTTCAGTCATCTACTTAACGCTGTGATAATAAGGGGGTTTATTCCGCCACAGTGAAAGATAGCGCAAATCTCCATGATACCAAAACCAGGGAAAAGCCCAGAAGACGTCAATTATATTGACCAATAAGTCTACCTCTGATCTTGTTGAAAGTTATGGAAATCCTGTTTCTAAAGTGCCTTATACCGATTATTCAACAAAACAGACTCATCCCTGACCATAAATTCGGCTTTCGTCAAAAACATTGCACAATAGAACAAATTCATAGACTTGTCAGACATATCTGTAGTGCGATAGATGGTAAGAAATATTGCACTGCGGCATTTATGGATATTTCACAAGCTTCTGATCGAGTATGGCATGAGGGTCTTCTTTTCAAACTAAAACTGAATCTAACCCTAAATTTTTTCATATTTATTACATTATACCTCTTGGCAAGGCAATTTTTCATTAATCATGGAAACGAAACTACAATACTTCATGATATAGGAGCAGGAGTACCTCAAGGTAGCATAATGGGACCAATGCTTTATCTTCTATGTACTGCGGATCTTCCTCTTACCGATGAGGGTGTTATCGGTACATTTGCAGATGACACAGCTATTTTATCAGTTGACAGTGATCCAATTCGTGCTTCTACCAAACTACAAACCTGCCTTAACAATGTTGCTCTCTGGATGAAAAATTGGGGTATCAAACCAAATGAGTCAAAACCTGTCCAAGTAACATTTACTATAAAACGTTCTGCGTGCCCGCCTGTATTAATAAACAATACTTAATTACCATAAGCTGTAGAAACAAAATACTTGGACATACATCTGGATAGTAAATTAATCTGGAAACCTCACATATTTATTAAGTGTAAAGCCTTGGGTTTCAAATTGCGAAACTTATTTTGTTTCCTCAGCCGAAGTTCCAAACTGTCACTAGATAATAAGCTACTTATATACAAAACTGTACTAAAACTTATATAGAGTTATGGAGCCCAATCATGGGGTACTGTAGCAGACTCAAACTTGGCAATTATTAAGCGTTTTCAATCTAAAACACTACGCATGACCACAAATGCACCTCGGTATATAACGAATGAACAGCTGCATAAACAACTATGTGTTCCGACAATTAAGGAAAAAATATCTCAAATTACAAAGAATTACGTTCATCGCGCATACATGCATCCAAACCCGCTAGTTACACACCTGATGTCCCCCTCCAACACTTTTACAAGGCTAAAAAGAAAAACATCGAGAGACGTTTTAGATATGTATATTCACACACTTCTATTTTAATTATATATGGATATGTCACTGGACATAGTCCATACGTGCCATTCTTTTTTAGATCGTAATAACTATAATTACGATTCATTTTAATATATATTACTTATTGTCATTCATACCTGACAGATTGTAATAAAATAAATGGATTATAAAAAAAAAAAACAGAAAATTTGACCAAAATAATTTTCCGAACAATTTTTCAAATAATTTTCTATTTCAATCTCAATATTTTCTGCCTCATTTGACTATTGTGATGTGGTAACAAAATTTCCATAACCGCTGAATGTCATCTAACCTCCGATTGCCTTATCTTTTATTGAATTATGATTTATGTGCTATGATTATCTCTGTCGTTATCAGTGAAGCATACATTTTATTAAATTATTTCGTTTTATGGAAACTAAATGTCAAAGTATTGCTATGTTTTAGTTTAAATGGAGATATTAAATATCAAACATTATTTATTTGAATATTTAATAATATAATTTTGATGCATAATAAATTCCAAACAAGATATGAAAGCATAAATAGAATACTTTATATGTAGTGTTTGTTATTTAAGAATTTTCTGTTTGAAAAGTAGTTGAATAAAATATCGTAATCACATTTTTTAAAGTTCACAGAAATTAATTCGGCTATATTTATCTGGTTTTAAGCGCACATATTATGTAGTTTAAAAGCACATGTGTGTAAATTCAGTACAGCCTCTAAATGGAAATAATTGTTCGTTCAGATGTCCCGAATCGATGCAGCTTTATCTGTTCTCTTACGATCTGCAAGTGTGTTTTCATTATCAAGTCGAATAAATCTTAGTATTATATTGAAGAGGTCGCGAGACATTGGTGCTCGTATGAGAGCGCATCAGCGTTCCGCATATTTTCTACATTAGTTTTGTTGTCTCTCCGTACATCAACAGCAGTAAGAATGCCCAAAAACGCATCGAGTTCAGTTGAAGTGAATGGCGAACGTTTATAACAATAAGGAAACCTTTATACCATTATTATAAACTTCACAAATTCTTTTGGCTTTTCGATTAGTTTCTTGAGAAATATGGTCATATATTTCTGAACTCAGTCGAGTTGAAAATCTCCTCTATAAACAGCATACTGTTTGTTACGGGCCCACTATTATGACGTAGCAAATTATGTGATCTTATTTTTGCACAAAAAGGTATAATAACGTTTTGTGAACTTCCTAGGAGGTGTAAGTACAAATTAGAACTTAAAAAACAAAAAAAAAGTTGGACAGGGGAAGATTTTTCATATCTTATATATGAAGGCACAATTGAACCGTTGTCGCCTCTTAACGTTAACGTTTTGGGCTTTGTCAAGTACCCATTATCAAAGGCATTTTGACAAATTTTTTTGTGATTTAATTTTTAAATACTTTTTGAATTTAAGTACCAGGTGTTAAACTTACACCCTATTTAATTTAAAGCGCAGATAAATATTTCTTTGACAGTCGACCTAAAGCGGAAGTTAACTTGTGTTCCTTTGAATTAAAGTTGTGTCAATTTTTTGCAAATGTTTACCATCAAATTAAGTTGCTGCGCTATATTAGAGGGAAAATATGAACCACATCTATACATAATTAAATTAGCTATCTTAGTTTTGTGTTTTGAATTTTGTATTATGCTTTTTTGTCGAAATATTATTCTTGCATCAATATTTTAAATTTTTTTTATATGTAGACTTTTATTCGGGAGCTTACAACATAGAATTTATGCTAATTAATTCCATACTCGTTTTATAGCCAAAGATACAAAGAAAAAACTTTTTTCATCACATCCTATAATGAAAATCTTTTTATATATAAAGTTGGTTTTATGGCAATTGTCTGTATTTATCATTCTCTAGTTGTTTGATCTTTTGATCTTTGTGGAAAGACGATTAGCAAGAATACCAATAAAAATATTACATTGTCTGCATTACAAAACTGTTTCTTGTACTGTTTTGTGTGCCCCTTTTTTAATATATATGGTATACTATATTATCTGCATTAAAAAATATTTTTATAACAAAAGCTACTATGTTTAATTAAGTTCGTAAGTAATCAATTCATCTATAGTTAGGAGCCTAATAAATTGATAATCTTATTACTTTTGTATTTGGTAATTATTGAATAAACAAGAATAAGAATATAGATTTTTTAGTGACGGGCTAAAGTTCGCTTTTGGAGGAAATGAAGTTTGTTTGCAGTAAAAAAAATTATTTTTGGCTAAAATGTAGTTTGTTTATGAGAAATGAAATTGAATTTTTGTTTGTGAAGATCAAAAATATTTTTGAGAGAAACGAAATAATTGAGAGAAGAGAAATAAATATGAAGAGACATGAGAGAAGAGATTATGTTGCTCATCGTTTGATATTAGTATTGCCTTTTGTTTTGAAGCATAGAATGCTTCTAGTTTTACGTGAGTTGTGCTCTAGTGTGGTCGATTTATTTGTTAATTGCGCAACGAAGCATATTAAAAAAAAATTTTGCCAGAAGTGTTTTTTTTGATAAATAATTGAGTATAAAGTTTTGATTTAGTTTTAAGTAAAATTTATTCTAAAGTGTTGTTTGGATTAGACAGTTAGTAAAATAATATAAAATAAGCATTAATGAAAAAAAAAACTACTGCGTTTTACATCACACACAGCTTGCATATTTTTGGTTGTTTGCCGGCGCGAAAACGGGCGTCATTTTTGTTTGTACCGAAGATTGTTTGTACCGAAGATAATTACACGAAGATAAAAATCTACCGGTAGACGTGAATTCAGTGAAGATAAAAACAATAAAATTTCTACTGATACTGATACTAAAAATTCTACTGAAATCTTGCAACGGAAGTTCATTTTGATGTGGCTTTGCCGTTTCAGCACAAAGCTTTGGATATAAACTGGTATATTTATTTCATGTAATATTTGAAAATTTAAATAATAATACATCCAATTTATTAGTTTATCGAAGATACTAAACGCATGTATGGTAAGCCGCTAAATTTTGACATTCCGTCTAATTTATTGCAGTCGAATTATCAAAGCTACCTCGTACAAAATCATCAGCTACATTGCAAATTTTGGAACTTATAGAAAATGAAAATATTGGTAACGTTATCAATTAAACTTCACTATATACCATAAAATACCATAACACCATAAAAGAGAAAACTGCTTTAATATCTATAACTACTTTGCAAATTTTTACTTATTTATTTAGAACAACAAAAAACAGTAGCTGGGTTGATGTTGCTTCCGTCATTTTGTGGATATTTGCAGTGCAGATACAGCTATAAGAGGAATTTTAAAAGAGCGACAGAATAGAAAGGAAGAAGTGCAGCCATTCATTACATTAATTGGATCTCCGATTGAAGCAGCGTGGTTACACGTAGCAGATATAAAATATATTTTTAATAGTTCACAATAAAATAAATAATAAAATAAATTTCTTGCAACTATGTGGTTGTTTTTTTTATATGAAATTATTTATAGGTAATAAAACAATTATTTTCTCACAAACGAAAAGAAATTTAACACAAAAATGTTAAACATTACCGCCAATTAAATTATTTTTGAGAGAAACCAAAAATTTTTTTGTTACAACTTAAGTTTTCATTACTCACCAAATTAAATTTAATTACTGCAACCAAAATTTATTTCCTATAATACATGAAATTATTTTCAGGCAAACAAACTTTTGTTCCCGACAATAAAACTACTTCTTTTCCAATAAATGAAATTACAAACAAATTTCAGTTGTTCTCTGTGTGTAGAACTTAGTCTATTCACACAAATCCGTAACAAAGTTTTTCCAAAGTTGACGATTTCGTGCCATAAATCTCAGTTAATTTATAGTTCTTAATGTTTCATTTGTGATTGTTTGACGCCATGTAATTTTTGGGCATCCTCTATTTCTGTGGCGTTGAGAGTTCCAGAAAAGTCCACTGTGCGTAATATTGTTTGTTTGCTTACGTAGCGTGCGTCCAAATCATCTATATTTCTGCTGACGTACTTCTTTTTCCATTGGTTTTGGCCACTAATGCGCCATAGTTGAATATTTATTAGACTAGGCTACCAGATTCTTAAAATTGTATGCAAACATCTATTGTACGTATTACTTATTTTTATTACTGATAATGAATAAATAATTCGCTTACAATTTTATTAAATTATATGCTATAATTTAAACAAAAAAATTTTATGATATAATTTATTATTAGAAATTAATTATATTATATAAAAAATTGCCAATGCTTTCAGATTTTTTGACACCAACTATTATAACAATTGTTTGCTTTTTCTTCTTTTTTAATAGGTAATTTTTTAAAAATATGTGTGCGATCATTTATGAAACAATTTACGAATCATAAAAGTATAAATTATCTTATAATTAATAAATTTCGAGAGGTTTCGAACATTGGTGAACTACAACAACAAAAATTATTTTTATATTATTTTAATTAATTGAATTTTTGGTTGACCATCAAGCTGTTTCGAGTATTGCCAAATACCCATCATCAGTGATCTTGGAAATAATTCTTGTATTTAATTATTCGTAAATAATACAACTCGTGCCCTGCTAAATTTGAAGCTCAGCGTCAGCGTTTATAAGCTGATCCAAAGCTGTACTTGACTTTTTTGTTCACACTTTTTTTTCGAGTTTTGTTAATTTGCTGTAAAAGTTAATTAACAAATTTATTCGCTGTGTTATATACCAGGTGTACCGGTATGAAGTGAGCGTAAAGATACAACAAATGTTCCGACAGGGAACATTTGTTGTGAACGAACCTTTATTTCTTTTTGTTTGTTTGCTATGACATGTGTGAAATATATATAGTATACATCAAGTCATTGAACAGACAACATCATATTTTTTCAACGTGTTAAAAATGTCGAATTTTATTCTAGAAAGTGATGATTTGCGGAAAGCATTAATTTTTTGTTTTCATTTGAAGAAAAGTGGTGCAGAGTCGTATCGAATGCTTGTCAAGGCATATGGTGATCATGCTCTATCAGAAGCAACATGCAAAAGATGGTTTCAACGGTTCAGAAATAATGATTTTGATGTGAGAAATGAAGAACGTGGAAGACCGCCAAAAAAGTTTGAAGACGCCGAATTGTAAACGATATTGGATGGAGATGACACTTTGGGTCAAAAGCAAATGGCAGAAATGTTAAATGTTGCACAACAAACAATTTCTGACCGTTTAAAAGCTATGGGAAAGATCCAAAAGTGTGGAAAATGGGTGCCACATGAATTGAATGAAAGACAGATGGAAAACCGAAAAAACACTTGTGAAATTTTGCTTCAAAGACACGAAAGAAAATCGGTTTTGCATCGGATTGTTACTGGCGATGAAAAATGGATTTATTTTAAGAATCCTAAACGAAAAAAAACATGGGTTAATCTCGGGAACAAACATCAACATCGACTGCAAAACCAGATCGATTCGGCAAGAAGACAATGCTGTGTGCTTGGTTGGGACCACGAGCTCCTAAACCTGTGTGAAACCGTCAATGCTTGGTCGCTATGAACAAACAAACGATAAAATTTGAACCATGAATTGATCGAGAAACGACCAGAATGGGCCAGAAGACACGGCAAGGTAATCCTGTCCATGACAATGCACCTGCCACACAAGCAAAACGGGTTCAGGATGCAATCAAACACTTGGCTGAGAGTGCTACCCCACCCGCTGTATTCACCAGACCTGGCTCCTTCCGACTACAATTTGTTTTCATCGATGGGACACGCATTGGCTGAGCAGCACTTTCATTCCTACGAGGAGGTCGAAAATTGGGTGTCTGGTTGGTTTGCTTTAAAAGACGAACAATTTTTTTGGCGTGGTATCCACAAATTGCCAGAAAGGTGGTCAAAATATGTAGAAAGCAATGGCCAATACTTTGAATAAAATGTTTTTTACTTTCCTATTAATAATTAGTGTTTTATTTTCACCAAAAAACGCTCATTTCATACCGGTACACCTAATATATTATTAATTGTTAAATTTTACTATTTGGTACTACTGTTCGAAAGCTTTATATTAAATACCCCAAAGATTGTTAAAGTAAAAATAGTCATTACTGTCATATTTACGTCAAAATCAAATTTAATTAATTAATTTCTATATACTACTTGGATCGATATCGGTGTAATCCTCTTTTATTCATTCCGTTTATATAACTTATTCAATCGTTCTTAGACAGGTCCACTCTCGAGTATTTCGCAGCTTCGACATTTGTGTCCTTTCTATATCGCGGCTTTTTTAAATTTTGCTCTACGTCATTAGTTGGATACCTGCAATTTTTTGTTATAATCAGAATATAGTATTTTATGCTATTTTATTACCAAATGTTAAGTTATTGTTTTGAATATACAGTGACTCCTTCGCATAATCGGACAAGCATTTGTTCGATACAAATGCGCTATAATCTTAAAAAGTATGCTAAAAATATAATTTTTTTTGCTTTAATTAATACTTAACATAGTTAACTATCTAAATTATAAAAAAAAATTTATTAGTTATTATTTCTCATAATAACTGTAAATATAAAGTAAAAAACAGAACCAACACAATTTTTTGGGCTCAACGCATAATCGGACAAAGTGAAGCAGCAATGCTAAAAATACTGTTATTTTACAAATATACACTTCAAAACTACAGTAATAATTCTCACAAGGTTACTTACATTAAGATAAATATAAATAATAAATTATAAAATTGTAACAGAAATTAGTAATAAAATGGCACCAAATGAAAAGCAATCTACTGTCAAAACCGTTAGAGAAATTGCCAATTTAGTTGGAATAAGTAAATCTACTGCCCAAGACATTATCAAGAGGTTCCGTGATGAGTTTATTGATCAATAAGAGCAGAGCAGGTCAAGGCAAAATATTAAATGATTGAGAAGAGCGTTCGATATTGAAAGAAATAAAGAAAAATCCTTTCAAAACCGCTAAAGATCTTAAATTTTCATTAAAATCCTGCTCTGGAAAAGATGTATGCTTAAATACTATTCGCAATACATTATATAAATTCGATTATCACGGAAGAATTGCCAGAAAAATAAAAACAAAAGAATAAAATATGCTAAGGAATATTTACTAAAAACAGAAATCTGTTTAAATCAGGTAAATTGATGGTAAATCATCTTAAATACATTTTCATTGATAATTTTCATTTCTTTAAGATTTTGTTCACTGATGAAAGTAAATTTAATCTGCATGGATCTGATGGTAAGATGTTTATATGGCGTAAACCAAATGCAGAATTCAATCATCACAATACAAAAACCACTATAAAACATGGAGGAGGTTCTGTTATGGTTTGGGGTTGTATGTCAAGTGCGGGAGTAGGTAATTTTATAGATAGTAAAATGGAAAAATTTGGATTCCTCGACATTATGAAACAGAATGTACAGCGAAGTGCAGAGAAATCGAGTATCGCAGAAAATTTTGCTTCTTATCAGGACAACGATCCCAAGCATACGCCAGGCGTAGCAAAGCTTTGGTTGCATTTTTGAGAGGATTAAGGTCTGGGCTGCAATTAAGACCTTAATGTAATTGAGCATTTTTGGACGAAATTAGCTAGGAGAGTGTACCAAAAAAAATTTAACACAATAGTACAGCTAAAGGAGGCTTTACTTGAAGCATGATACTCAATTGAGCCAGAAGTGTGTTAAAAATTGGTAAAATCAGTTCCAAATCGTATTCCGGCTGTTCTGGATAACAAAGGATATGCAACAAAATATTAAATGCCACATTTCTGCATTTTTAGCATGGATGCTTAGTTTTGTCCGATTATACGTTGAGCCCAAAAAATTGTATCGGTTCTGTTCTGTTGTATCGGTTCTGTTGTATCGGTTCTGTTGTATCGGTTACTTTAAATTAATAGTTATTATGAGAAATGTTTTTTTTTTTTATAATTTAGATAGATAGAATTATATAATTATATAATTTAGATGTTAAGAATTAATAAAAGCAAAAAAATCATATTTTTAGCATTTTTTTTTAACGTTTAAGGCATTTATATCAAACAAATGCTTGTCCGATAATGCGAGGGGGTCACTTAAAAATGTAACAGTGACTGTAAAAGAAAAATTTCGCTTAAAGTTTGTTCACGGTTTTTTGTGCATCGTCACATTGGTGATAACAGTGTTGTCCAGTAATAAATGTTAATATATTAATATCTACGTATTTGACAAAAATGCTACTTTCTACATATAGGCATTTAAATTTCGTTAGAAGATCAAGTGGTAAGGCGATAATTATACAGAGATATTATTCATACCAAATCCACGGCAAACGAAATCAACACTTCGTTAGTGACCATTTCCAAGTTGCTGACAATTCCTATTTGCGATCATCAATAAATCGTTCCTGGACAAACGAAATACACTTTTCGTT